TACTAAATATATTGTAGAAACTTAATTTTCTGTAAAGTTGCTTTGCAACGATTTGTATCATGAAAAGAGCTGTACAAATAAACTTGAATTGAATTTGTATAGCGCTTTTCACAATACACATTGTTTTAAAGCAGCTTTACAGAAAATGCATGTGTCTACATTACAAAGTGTCCAAGTAATGTTCGTTTCTCAAATGAACTGTTCAAGATAATAGAATCATACAGTTGGCTAACATTAATTAATTTTAGGCAGAAGCTCATTAAAGCGATTATTACAAGTGTGATCATAATGATTACAATATAGAGACATTTTGGCAGTTGTGCATGTCGATTCAAGTTGGCGTCATCTGGGGTCCTCGTAGGGGTCAGCATCATCTCTTTACAGGTGTTGGGTCATCTGAAGATGAGGCTGGATCCACGCTGGAGCTGGCGTTAAAAGTTCTCTAATTTAAATAGCTAGCTGAGTTAATGTCAGTTTATTACTTTATTTATTTATTGTGCAACTGTCTTATTTCATATGTAGTTTGTTTTATGCCATAAAACTATGCAGTTTCTGTGTGAATGATCGGTGGTGGAATTGGCTGCGATGCAAGGGGCACCAGCTAAAACCTTGCCTAGGGCACCAAATTGGTCAGGGCCGGCCCTGCAAATCAGTGTTTTATTTAGTTGTTACCAGTAATTGGAAACATGTTTAATAATCAACACCAACTACTTTAATTTTATTACTACTTTTATTATTTTATTATCTACTTTAATTTAATTTAGTGCAGTATTTTTCTCATAAGGAGAATTTGAGTTCATAACAGTGATCATGATACTGTAATGCTGTTTCAATCTATATTTACTCATATGTGTATTAATACATCAAGAGCAAAACCTGTAGTGAAGGTGAGGCATAGTAAAATTTACTTAAATGTATTTCCAGGTCATTTTTGCCTAAATAAAGGGCAGTTTTCTTCCCTAACCTCATTAAATGTACGTGCCATCTTTCATATCAAATTCTTACATTTTATTAATCATTTCAGTTACTGTAATAAGACACTATAGGGCTGTTACCAATCAAATTAAATCAGTATCAACAAAATTGATGTTTCCCCTGCAGAAAGAAACTGAAGCAGCTGATGTGGCATTTAGATGCATTTACACAGACAGTTTAATGATGCTGAAATGTAGCATGAATGCACTTATGCTGCAAAATTACAACTACATAAATGATGTTATCAGCTTAGAATTTATTTTTATTTTTTTTAAATATCCAAATATCAAATGTTGAGGGGAAAATGCAATTATGTGCTGCTTTTAAATATGACTGTAAAGGCCAGTAGGTGGCAGCACGTGACTGTCTTAATAAGTGAGTCTTCATTCAATCGATTCATTCAGAAGGCAGATTCATTCAAGAATGAAGCAAGTGCCTGTCTTTATGAATGGGTTATTAAATTCAGAATGAGATGACTTACAGAAAATTATGTTAAATGAGTTCATGAAGTCAGCAGGAGCTTCATTCTGCTTTCTATGGCGAGTCAGAGGCATTTGTCTGAGGACGTGACGGAGCCAGAGCCTCCAGAAAACACTGAGCTCAGAAAACTAATGACAGGACAAAAGCTAAACACAACAAACATTATGAAATATGACAAAGTATATGTATAAAATTCGGTAACACTTTAGATTACAACCCGCAAAGAACTATGTAAGTATACTGAATTTACAGTGTACGTTTCTGTAATTATAGTGTACCGATAAAGAACATACGTGCAGGTATAAGGGAACAATGTGTTACGTTTGGGTAATAAGGGGGTAACAACCAGATATGCAACCTGCAAAGAACTACGTAAGTAAACTGAAGTTACAGCATAACTTTTTTTGTAATTATAGTGTACCTATTCAGTACCTCCGTGTAGGTGTAAGGGAATAATATGCAAAGTTTGGGGAATAAAGGGGTAACAACCTGTAAACATGTTGTACTGTGTTATTTAATTCAAATATTGTTTGCAATTTACTATAGGCCTACTGCTGGGTTATATTAACCCAAAATGGGTTTTAAAATTAAAATCACACACAATATGACAACAGTAACAACACAGGCAACAGATAGCCTAATAAAAGATTAAAATGTATTACACCAGTTCAGAAAAAAGCAAAGTAACTCCATACTTATACAAATTATTTTGAAAAGCTTGTTTAAGAAAATATTTTGTTCAATTTGTTCATGTTTTTCACCCACTGACTTAATGACTAGTTGATTAACTAGTAATGACTAGTTTTTTACGTCTTTTATTTACCGTTTTGATCCACATCCTCAAGCACCATTTTGACTAACTTAGTTCAGTTCCCGGTTTTACCGCTCATCAGTCGCTGCTCAATGTTGTGAGAACATACTC